AAATGTTTAAAGGAAAAAAAAATAAATCCCAGTTTAGAAGCAGGAAAAAAATGAAAGCTGCTTCAGGGTGACAGAAACCATACATAAATCATATTAGGACATATGAAACCTTCAGTTAAATCTATTTGTCCCTCTCTGTGATTCTGCCAACAGTATGAAGCTGGTTGACCCACTCAGACAATATATAGAAGAAAATGGTGTGCTTCAGAAGTCCTCCAAAAGCAAGACTGGGTAATGACCTGCTTCACTGCAGTTCTTCACTGTAACTTCTTAATGTCGTATTTCTCAAAAGACTTTTCCTCTTCAAACAGGTCTTACATAGGAATGAAACTCTGTAAGTCTTCCACTTTATTTCAGCCTTGTCTTTAATGAAGAAGTTACTTTGTCTTTGAAATTTCAAATATTTTAAATAAAAATAACTACCGTTTACAAGTAAATTTGGGATCTAGTTCAAGAGAAAACAGACAATGCTGTTTCATGTCAATGATGTCTCTAACACAATTTTCTGTGCAATTAAGCTTGTATGATGGCAGATGAAGCCCAAAGCTGAATGGGGTATCTTTGAGTTTGTACTTTCCATAGAAAACTGCTATAAAGAGATGAAAATGCCTTTTGCATTCCAAGTAAATCTACATTGATACATCATGCAGTCATATCACATATGCAACATATGTTTAGAGTAATTCAAATTTTGAGTTGTCCAGAAAAATGATTCCTAATTAATCCCTGATGATCACAAAAGCAGCTCTCTTATTTTAAGTTATTACCAAGGAAAATTCCTTTCACAGGACAGTGAAGGCTAGAGCCTCAATGCCAGAATGAGGCACATACAGACAGTTCAGACATAAACAGTTCACATGTGTCATTCCTGGTCTGAGCTCACCCAGGAAGTGCTAATTACTTATTGCTGAAGTGATTATTGCTTTATTTTTTCTGTAAAATTAGGGAAGAATCACCATGAGTAATTCAGAAAAAAAGCGTTTCCTCTGGAATGCAGTGGTACTAAATAATCCTCTAGCAGAAACACGGAGAGAAAAAAAAAATCTTACATACTTTTGCCTTTTAAGGGCTATAAAAATTGTACCAGTATGATAAGGTACTGTACTTTCATTTAAATAATATCTATGTAAAACCTAAATTGATGTAAAAACTTCCAACTAGTTTACTGAAAGCATGATCAATACAGTACTTGGGAGTTTCTATGAATAGATTACAATCATGCAGTTTAAGACCAGATTTTGGAGTGTGAAACACACAGTTATGTCACCAAGCACAGGTCATTATCCTGTTCCTTCCGGCAAGAATGCAGCTATCAAGAACATTTCACGCTCAGATCAACTGTGCATTTAAGTATCACTTGCTTTCAACACCCACTGAATAAAAATAGAAGGGGACAACAGAGAAAGCTAAAAAAGCAGATGGTAATTTAATAATGCATTTTTAAGCTGCTGGCCCTCCCCTGTATTTCCTGCACAATCTATGTCAATGCAAATTTCAGCACCAACTTCAACAAAGCCAGAATTTAATCCATGGAGTTCATTCAAGAATTTTAAAGGGGGAGGGTAAAACACAAGCTCAGTGGCCACAACTAAAGAAATAAAAAAGATGACAAGGAAGAATACTGTCTGCCTGAATCCTAGCATGTGTTTTGTCTCCATTAACTCCCCTACCTTAAAGAGAGACATTTCTGCCAACTTTCTTTTAAATGGTATTTCACAGTCACTTAATCTCTTTGCCTCGGACTTCAGCATCGGTATAAAATGGGGAAACAACAACCTATTATCTCATGGAAATACTATGAGGATGCTTAAAAGCATGCTACTTAGTAGTATCTGTTCTGAATATTAACTTATCTGCACCCTCATAAACTTTTTTCCTCAATATTTTTAATTTCACAACAAACTATACATTGGAGTTTTAAAATGCAAACACTGAAGTCTTTTAATTGATCAATACATACCCTAAACTGTATGTAGGAGTAAACTCAAGAAATAAAAGCGATAGGGATTTTTTTTTTTTTTTTTTTTTAAAAAAAAGTCTCCCTTTGAGACTTTGAGAAAGGTCAGCATAAGCTGTTCAATACTATCTAGTGTAGCACATAAACAGCTTAAACATTTAAACTTCTTTTTTTCCCCCTTTCATGTTCTGGATACCATGGCTTTGGACATTGAAAGGAAACTCACAGAAGCATCACTTGTTTAAAAACTATAAAATCCATAAATCTATCTTCTGAAAAGAAAAAATGCCTCTTGTACACAGTTTAAGCTACACAGATCTAAGGAAAATGGGAAAGTATGATGTTATTTCCCATATGCCACATCAGTTAACGCAGAAGTAAACTTATGAATTTTGTAATAATGAACCTAAGCTGCTGAAGAGTACATTACCTCCTGCAACTTGCACAGAGATAAACATAAGCATATGTAAAAAATGGGCACTGCTGTGTGGATGAAAACAAAAGCAATTTTTGAAACCCTTATCAATTACTTCATCCATCCAAATGTGTAAATAGACGCTGGCATACCAGTTTTAATACACTGACAACAGGATATCTGCTTGTAGAACAGCACACTGAGAACCACCAACAGAAGGCTGGGTCTCTGCCCAGGACAGTGAAGATTTCCTACAAAACTGTGCTTCACATGCATTTACTGAATAACAAATGCATCCTATGATATACTGGATAGTAACAGAAGGTCCTACTAGGCTCAAGCAATTTGCAGTTAACAATACAACTTGGACAAATTCTGCTGCAGTGTTGACAAACTATTTTGATGTCTGGCAACAAGCTTAAAGACGTCACTGCAGCTCATGACAGTATCTATGCTGTAAGACAAATGCACTGCAGACTACGAGACACGGTTCTGGTTCCTCATGCTCTGGAACAGACTCCTGTTAGCATTCTACTCGATATAACCCTCCGTTTTGACAACTGTCTCTGGTTATAGTTTTCTAAACAGTTTTATATAACTATTATAGTAATTTACGTTTTTCCTAGCTTACTTCACTCACACAAAACCATATTAAAAAAAAAATCTTAAAAAGAAACTGAAATCACACCCTCCCCCCCAATTTTAGCTATTTGGCCTATTACCCTCTCAAAGAAGGAATTTAAATTGATTTAAACTCTTCTTAACTGACAGGTTATATTATATTTTGTAGAGATCTAAATACACAACTGACTGGTAGGTTCTAATTGAATATGAAAAAAGTCTATACCTGTCTGAACAAAATACATTCAGAAGATGTGATTTTTATGTAAATGCTTATAAAAATTCAGCAGTGTTGAACAGTGCAGATGACTAATCCTCTACAGGTGACTAATTCAGTGATTACTATGTTCATGTTGATAACAATCATATCAATTAACATTTAACAAGCAGAGCTCTCAAAAATAAGAAGTATCAACAGATACTCAACTCCTGGCAGAAACAGAAGAAAGCATCATGAAAAATGAAACGTAAAATTATAGGATATTTTGAATAGTTCTGTTAACGAGCTTAAGTTTCTGAGGCACTGATGAGTTATTAGTCTCCTCCTTTGCTGATCTGCGAAACAGCTCTGCAGTAACATCACACGGAGATCAGCTTGCTGGTTCAAGATACTTTGAAAACTATACCATCTAGTCACACAACAGTCTACTGCTCCACAAAAGGAAAATCAGATCAGATAAACTCAGCAAAACTCATGCCTTCATTAATAGCAACCCACATCCAGTGAGATTCTCTTTCAGGTACTCCTCCTTTCTCTTGCAAGTAGGATTCCATATGCTTAACACAGATTGTAAGGGTGACTGACAAAGCCTTTCAAAAAAGTGCCCTTTTTTGTTTTGTTTTGTAGAAGACATGTTACTAGAAGTGTTAAATCTAAAAACTGATGCTGGTTGCTTATTGATGTAGTCAAGGCTGCTGGTGGTACACTGTCTATACTGACAATGTATTTGTACCAGAAGACTTCTATATAATCAGCATTTATGAACCAGCTTCATGTTCCCTTAAACTTAATTTGAGTGTGTTTTCCTCCCTTGTAACTGACCCAAGATTATAACAAATGTTGCCAGGTCAGTAAAATGTTCTAATTTACTAATCTTGTGAAGCACCTCTAATTTAAAGATACCAGACTTAAATCATGCTACTTCCCCAACCCATTCATCTGCAGATTCAAGAAATCCCAATATTGGAAGTCAGTTTTTATGCCTGCAATACTGACCTAAGGGTTTTATACCACATTAAAGCATTGTTCTGTCATTGTTAAGAAACTGGCGTCTGCAACTTCTAAATTATATTGAAATGGAAACATAAGAAAATAGAGTATCAACTCACAGTTAATAACACTTGAAAACATGGCAGTTATGTGATGTCAAGCTCAGGTGTGTATTATATGAATCAGGAGAGAAAATTACTTAAATTCTCAGAAGCTGATTCGTGCATCCTATGATGCCAAGATTTGATTTTTACCCCCCTGATGCTTGCAAGGCTTTTTCTGAGGTATTCCTCTCCTATCTGATCGACGCTATCATGATCTTGAGTCTAATGATTTTACACTACCTAAGCAGGAATAAACAGAGGTCCCCAACTAAAATTATTTTTATTTCCTGAGCGCAAATATTTACAAGTGGTCAGACATGTCTGTATAGTCAAGGCAAGGAACTTCTAGACAATGCCCACTTCCTGTAAAATGTAACTGCTTCTTAAGCGATCCTGGCATAAAGCACTGGCTTAACAAAAGCAATCACAATTTCCTTCTGTATTTGGACCTAGTAACTATATAACTTGCTACAGAAGAACTTTTCTTCACATCAAGTAACAGTTCACATTTTTTCAGGATCCAAAGCAGAACTGCAGTTATAGCTTGCAAATGAAACCACTGTTTTTTAGACTCAGTTGTAAAGTAAGTCTTTACTTTTTCACATCTCAGATTATTACCAAAACAGGAAAACATTTAGCAAGCAGTCATGCATGTGTAAATATGAGATGTTAAAAGCTCAACTGATACAATACTTGAATTTCCGAAGACCACATCCCACGGAGAGCTGATAGGCTGTTCTTCTCCTTTTGCTCCACCTTCCTTATCAACACCTTGTATCCCAATGCCTGCTACAGTGGTCACCATCTCTAATTCCAGGTCAATCTACAAGAAGCAAAATTATACACACTGAACGTACAACCTTAACTTGACTGAAGTTACAGATAATGTGAGCTAGATGTCAAAAACAGAGTTTTTGCTGACAAATAAAAAACAAATCCTAACAAATTTCAGGTATTTTTTTACGTAGGAAAATAATTAATTTTACCACAATGCTTGCCGATGTGGGGGGGCAAAGGGGGAAGCAGTAGGCAGCAGGAGAACCACATGCCTAGAATTCTCTTCCACACGTAATAAAAATTAACACTGCTTTGTCAAGGTTTGCTCAGCAGTTCTAGAAGAAAGCACCAAAATTTTCTAGAGAAACACTCAGATGGACAATGGATGTGGATGTTTTATTTTAAACTTCTGTAGGAAAAGGACATAAAAATTCAGATACTGTAACAGCATCTCCCATCTCTATATACAACAATCTGTACAAAGCAAATTATATTTGCAGTTTATTTCATGCCCTGGAGAAAATAATGTTTTTATTTTATTTCATTTCTGCAACATAAATCCCTCTATTTTTCCTCCCCTTTTGCTTATTTTCTAAGTGACTTCCAATACCTCTCATGAATTTATTGTGATGATCATGTAAAAAGGGAGTCTTTCATGCATAGCATCTTCTAACTTTTGTAGCAGTAAATGCATTCTTTTTGCAAGGTCCATGGCCTGCACAAACATTTGAAAGCACGTCCTGTAGTTGCTGTATTACTTTAATTCTTAGATACCCTCATGGCACATTTAGATGAAAGGGAACAGCTAATGATCATGAAAAATGCTGAAGCAGTACGATCCAGATCTTCAGATGTTTCTGTGCTGTCTTTGCTACCTGAAATACTTAATTTCCTGCAGTGACCAGGCTACGGTGATGAATATTAGTAAGATAAGGAACCTGGAACAATCTACTCATTTTTAGTAACAATGTTTCTTTACCAACAGGGAGCCTTGGTCCTTTCCAGAATAAAACCTGGTAGCCAACTACAATGAATACAGTGCAGGGAGTTTGTGGACCAGTGCTTTGAAATGAAACACAGAATGAACCTACTTAACAGTAGAAAGGCACCTTAACAGTACAAAGGCACCCCAAATTGAGTAAGGATGTACCTCCTCTGATCATGAATCAGACATATTGGTGAAGATCTGAGTACAAGATCTTCTGAGATGCATAAAATACTTTTAATAATAAGGTAATATTATATTGCTTCAACAAACGTAACTTCTGATTATTCTAAATTCGACCTAACCAAATGTAAGATACAATGACAATATGTATGAAGAGTAACATTCTTACATGCTAAAACCTTGCAAGTGTTTAATCAAAAAAAATCCACATGCAGACAATTCTGAAATTAAAGCAGTTACCTGTACTTCAAAGACCCAAACAGCTAACAAAAGTTTAGGTATTCACTGAACCATAGTAGCACAATAACTTTAGATAAGAATCTGATACTAATGGAATTGAAACAAAACCAATTTTTGCTTCTAGTACTAAGAATAGATGTTTCTCATAACAGGAAAGTAGGAGTCACTACGGGGAAAAAAAAAAAAAAAACAGTTACGCTAGAATGAGTAGCACATATCATCCTTATTTGAAAGGAAGCACAAAAGTGTATGTGGCCCTTTAAAAAACAAACTGCACAAAGCATTTATTTATAAGATATTGGGCCAATATAAGATATATTTCCTTCCTGATTTTGAGGGTATTTGGAGAGTAATTAATTTGGTGTAAATTTTCAACTGTGTAAGTAGAATAAGGTATGAGAGATGAAATTTTCAATTTCCTTATGGAAAATTTACCTTTCTAATTAGGTGATTTTCTGTATCAGCTACATAAATAACGTTATTTTTAATAGCAATCCCTTGTGGTGAGTTGAAAGCTGCCTCTGAAAATCTTCCATCTCTCCTTCCACTGTTTGGACCTATAAATGAAACAAAGCAGACTCAAAAGTAATTTTAGATAAAAAACCTTAAAAATAAAGTGCATACATTTAAACCTGTAAGAGAATTACATATTCTAAGATGCTTTCACAGCACCTTGTACAATTTACATTATCAATATTTTGTGTAGTCTCATTTTAGTCGCTGTTCTATGTAATTACAATGGCCTGATGCTATTAAGTTTTGAACTCATTCTCCACAAGTTCTCTGCTTCTTTAAGCTCATCTTCCAAAAAGAAGTCTTAATAGGGGTCTAAATAGCTCCTGTTCCCTTGCAGTAAAGGACAACAGCAACAACAGAAGATAGAAATAAAAAACTACATCTTTTTTTATTCCCGACTACATCAAAGCAAGCCAGCAGGAAAAACTTTAAATTCCAAAGCTCAATTCCATTTCAGTGGTTTAGATTTTGGTGTAATCACAAATGAAACAAATATTTGATTAGCAGCATTTTTTGCTAATCAGGAAAAAGATGACATGGAACTAATTACACAAAAGAACAGTGAGAATGATGGAGTGACAGTCTTCTGCACAGAACAATCAAGAAATAGAAAGGAACGTGACCTGAATTAACAGTAGGAAGGTAAGCATCGTATTTCAGAGGGATTAACATTTAAAGTGCATTAGCAGTATGTGTCAGCAGAAGACATTTAGATTTATGAGTTATGTGTGCATCATGATTTATGATGCAAATATAGTAATTTCAACCTTTATGCATGCCCACACTTATTACTGTATTACCAACTTCATTACGTTATTTTCTGCCCACTGAATCATTTAACTGAGTCACTGAAATACACAAACTTATACAACCTACTGTCAGAAGACAATTTAGACCTTAGCAGATGTGAAGCACTGAGGTGCTGGTGTGTCAGATTCCAGTAGTTCCCCTTGGTAAGCATGAGGGTGCACGTCCCCAGGGAAGGGAATAGCACAGAGTGCCACAGGAAGGAGGGGTACCAGTTCAGAGGTTAGGACACTTCCCTCTGAATTGCTGTTTAATGACTATCCCAGAACACTAAAGGGTACCTTGTCAACAGAGACTTCCTCTCACATATCAAACAGAAACCAAATTCTCTCACTTTTGTCATAAGAAATCCTGTTTGTACTTCCCACAGGAGAAGGGTATTAAGACTAATGCCTTTATCAGGTTAACCTGGATAATTAGACTGTCTATCCAATGCATTGTTACATCAAATAGCAAGAGATTTTCTTCCTTTCTTTAAACAGCAGTGCCACAGGTATTTTTATGCGGTTTGCAGGATCCTGCCATGGGACAGGCTTTAGTCAATACCAGACTAAGTAATACAGGACACATCAGCATACGGGTCCTGATTCTGAGACATAAATGAACTGTTGTTTTCAATGATTTGGTGATTCAACCATTTCCTACATCTGTCTGTTATGGTTGCTCATAGATGGACTGTCCTAACAACTATGTACTTGGTGCCTTAAGATGTAACTTTGACCACTGTAACAGATTAAAAAAAAAGAGTAAGTCTGAATGTTTCATTTATGAAAGAGTAAAGCATACAAAGAGCGCCCAAATTCAACTACATTTTCTTGATTTGCACTGTAAAGCAGATAGTAATTTTACAAAAACAGTTAAGGAGATTTTAAAGTTAAAGAGTTTTTTAAAGCTGAAATGTTACTAATATAAACTTTGTAATAAATGTAACTACATTTAAAATAATTAACTTTCACTATTTTCATAACTTGTTATATGTTGAACCTCAATTTTGGTGAGAACACAGGCCTTTTCATATACACTAAGGCAACTTCATTTTCAGGTGCCTATGTACTAGTGCAATGCCACTGTTCTTAATATAATTCTCTCCTCCTGTAAAAAACAGAAGGGGATCCTATGGAGGAATGCTTTTGATTTAAAAAAACAACACCACCAACCAAAAAACACACACCCCAAAAACCTCCCTACACAACACCACCACCACAATTCAACAGTCATTTCTTCTATTGGAAAGGGAGGCATTATTGTCTCTTTTCTTTTCCCTACCTTGCTGTTGGATGTGGACGTACATCACTTAAATCTAAACCCATTTGTAACTCTTTCAGAAGAATACAAAATGTATTTTTTGTAATTCATATTGGACATCAAAAAATACAAAACTTAGTCAATGGAATAAAGAAAAAAAATCAGACATCTCAAACAGTTGCATTAACAGAGTCTCCCATTGATGGTACTATGCTATATCCCCCCCTTATCCAGCAAAAGTGTTTTTAGTAGAAAAAAGATTTCTGGCAGTGTTTATAAACTGCTAGGTCCTCTAAGAAAAGAATCAGCCTAGTAAGCCCAGTGAACATACTCTACTCCTAAACTAAAATTACTATAATAAACTTATATACCCTTACCTCCAATAGTGTGTAGAATTTGTCCATTTTTTTGAGTAACCAAAATCCTATGATGTCCAGTGTCTGCTATTACCAGCCTTTCTCCTGAATTATCTACGGTCACTTTGCCAGGAAACAGCAGGGGAGAAGGTGGGAGGGAGTCTCTGTATAGTTTTATTCCAATGTTGTTATCTTTGATTTGTCCTCTCTCCTTGTAGAATTTCAGTGTTATAGAAGTAAATAAAACCAACTTCTCTCTGTGTCCCTCTCCAACGAGCGAAAACAGCATATTTCCACGAGGCCCGAGAATGACCAGAGTTGGCCAGCAGGACACTTCTAGTTCATGCCACAGTGTTGCATCTGCATCATTTACTACAGGGTGGACAATATTATACCTCAGAACAGCACTTTTAATGTTATCCAGAACTTTTTCATTTGGGAATTTCGCTGAATGGACACCAACAATAATAAGACCATCTGAAACAAAAAATAAAGTCGTGCATTGAAACATATTTATATTTGAATAAATAAAAAAAGTAAAAATGAAACACAGTTATCTCACAATGTGACTGACTGCTTTCCAGAATGAAAAAGGATTTGAACAAACAAAAAGCAATTACATTT